AAAAAAATAAAATAATTTAATTAATTCAATATAAAAAATAAAAAAATTATTTAGTTTCGGTTCTTGTTCGGTTCTTGGTCTAGACCCGAGACCCGACCCAAACCCATCGGTTCTCGATTCGGGTACTCGTTCGGATATTTAATTTATGAAGAACCGCTCGATTCGGTTCGGTTCGGTTCGGGTTCGGTCCGGTCCGGTTCGGTTCGGGACTTTTGGACACCCCTATAACTCAATGGTTGTGAATTGAATTGACAAATTTTACACAAAATTTTAAGTCGAACGATTTGGGCGTTGTCTTAACGAGAATCTTGCCCATTTCTCAACTATGAGGATACATTTGTTACAAAATAAAAATAAATATTCTCAAGAATGCAACTAAACAAAGTCAAATATAGTCTTAACGCGTAGAAAAACATACACCTACTAAAAACCAAAACTGGGCCAAATAAAGGGAAACTTAAAAATAAGGGAAAATTTCGTACTTAAGAGATTAGGTATAACATATTTCAAAATTAAGAAACAATGTTTATTATTTCAAAAATAAGATAGTAATTAAATTTTATTTATTAAATAATGAATTGAAAATATATTTTATTAATTAAATATATTATAGTCATAATTACGTATCTATAGGTTACAACTTATTTACCGATCATATATTATCAAATTAATTGGTTACAAATTATTTTTTGATTACAAATAAAAAAATTTATAACTCACAATTTATTTATTGGTCACAAATCACACATTTTATAAGTCAACTTATTTCACAATCACAAATATTAAATTAATTGGTCACAATTGAACAAATTCTGAGTCATAATTACAAATTTTGTTACAATGATATTTTTCTAGGTCACATGTTATTTATTGGTCACAACACCCAAATAATTGATCAAAAACACTCTTCCTACCCACAAAACACCTCCATCACCATGGGCACCACTGCCTCGTCAGCATTACCGTGGCACCCGCAAAACCACCACACACCACTGTCGCGCACAAAGAACACCACCATCGCCACCACCACCTCCACAGCCATCTTCTCTATTTCCATCTATACCACACCACAACCACCACCACTACCAAAAAAATCACAAACTCGTCGCCACCACCACACACTAACACCATCGAGAAAAAAACCAAAAAATATGCCGCAAAATCACAACCATAATCGCTACAAAACGTCGAAGAAGAGTGGTAATACACCGCAAAACCAACATGGTAAAGTAAGAGCGATAGCTCTAAAAACTCTGCCAAAATGCAACGTCGGAGAAACCACTGGAATGCTGCGATATGTGACCAAGCAAAACTACGGATCGCTGTGATCTGTGTACTAAGCGAAACCACGGATCCGCATGTAGAGGCTCCGATTCTGTAGTTGTGCGAAGTAGCGGTTGTGCCTCCGATGCCGCATCTCAACGCCGAAGGTTCCATGTCGCCGGAGAAGAGAGAAGGTAGAGAGACGGGAAATGATAAGAAAGAAAGGGTAAAAGGATTTAGGATTTGGGGTGTATGTGGTGGGATGGGTTGTGTAGATTAATTTAAATTGAGTGGGCTAAGTATTTTGGTGAATGGTGGGTTTGTAGATTAATTAATTTTATAATAATATTATTAATATTTAAAAATTATATTATTGTCTGATTTTTATATAAAACTAATTAAAATCTGAATTTTGAAGTTGGAACTCGAAAAATATCCGCATATTCCATTAAAAATAATGCAAAATTGGGCCTAGGGTGTCCGACCCAACTTAGGGACATCCCAAGGATGCAGGGGCATAAGTCCAGGCTTGCTCTCCAAGCCTAATTTTTAATATGTATTTATTTTTTTCCTACGTATCAGTCCAGTAGTTATTTTTTGGTCCCCTGACTATTTCCTTGGGGGAACGACATACAACAACTCAGCCCCCCTAGCCGCTACAAGAGCGGTTGCCCTCTTCCTCTTTTCAGGCACGACCGTGCTTCTTCTCCTTGGCATTGTTGAGATCCTTCGGATATGCTAACGCTTACCCTTCCACTGCATCAAGATCCAAAGCCACGTTTTTCTTTTATAGAACCGGTCCGATTCAACTGGTTCTTAATAGTTTTGTCTACCCCTATCTGGTCGTATTAACGAATATCTGTTGTTTTTGTTAACTATAAAGCAAGGGAATGAAGCATATACTTATTTTTTTACAAATGAAAGAAGAAAATAATGCAAATACAATACATACTCAAATAGTATAAAAACCAAATCGACCCGATTGGTTCAACCCCTCAATATTTCATAATAAGGTAGAATAAAAGCAACCCCTCAATATTTCATTATGTGTTTCAAGGCATGCCTCAAGACCGTGATGCAATTTTTACTCTGCTCTATTTTGCCTTCCTTCTAATTCGTCTAGACAGCTAGAGTTGGGAATAAGAAAACCCTGGCGAAGTCCACAATATCTAGTTTTGCGTGATTTCTTCAAGCATTTCAACCACCTTTTTTATTATGGCCGTTTGGCTGTTGTGCTTTCAAAGCAACATTTAGATATGCAAGCATTGCAAAGGAGACGTTGCTTAGCCTTGAATCAAGAATCTGCTTGGGGGTTTCCCCTCGTGCAGGTGCAGTATGAACTCACTTCACCAAATCTATGCCTTCACCGAATTCCTCATCGACTGGTAGTTTAGTTGTAAGAATATCGAGTAACACAACTCCATAGCTATAAATATTTCCCAGGTGCTGTAAGTTGCATTGTATACGTATACTCTGTTGATCAACTTAATTTAGGTTAGATAATATTGAACAATATCCTAACTTGTCAATCGGACCACTCCTAAGTAGAGGCGTAAATTGAGTTAGGTAGTTCTTATTTGACCTAAGCTCTTGATGATTCGTTCCGCAAGCAACATGTTTGGAGCTTTTAAATTTTTAACTCTTTTTGTGACCAAATTGCACGGGTGATTTTTATTTTTTTTGAGCGAAAAGATAACATTTCAGTTATTTTTATTTAATTATATAGTATATCTACCAGCATATATTGTAAAAACTTTTGGAGATTTTAAGTTGATGTTCCTATGAAATGTGTGTTGGTGTTCGAATTAATAAGAACCTGTGAACCCATGTCAAAATGATTAGAAGAAGCTTAGTTGTAAAACCTTAAATCGGAGCATGATGTTGGACTAAAAGCTCGTCCATTGAGCTCAGACACATTTCTTCATCATCTATAAATATCATCATTATTTCGCTAAAAAAGTGATTCCTAGTGATGTCACACTTCCTAAACGATCACTCTTAAAATGACAAATATCACATTTTACGTCAGCACATCACCACTCACCAATCAGAAAAGAGTAATGATTGCCCAAATATTAGACAATCATAACCTATGTCACAACTAAATCCTCGGTGAAATGATGGTCTGACCGATCAAACTCGACATCCAATCAAATCTCCTTGAATAGGATGATGAAATACAAATCAAGATCAATGGTGACACACAAGGGGCTAAGCATATCAACTATATGCAAAACGTTATCAGAAACACTTCTTAATGAGAACCACTCTTTCCTTTACAACATTCCGATAATTACTTTACTAAATTTTCCTTCGGTTGATCGAAATTTGACACGTCAATTTAAATTCTCATAACTATGGTTAAAAAGTAAAATCAGACATGGTCGTCCTATGTTTCTATTTAATACTTGAGCATAAACATGTCTTTTTTTTTTCTTTTTGTTGAATATGCACGTTTTATCCATCTCAAACCTTATCACGTTACACAATTTTAATTATCAATTGTATGTTAAGAATTTAGCAATATTTTAAAAATCGACCGGAGCATCAATCTAAAAAAAGAAAAAGGGTCAAGAGTCAAATCGGAGTTGAATTTGTATCGAACCGAATGCCAAAATTGAATAAATACGCACGTAAACTATAAAATATTATAATAATATTTTATTTTTTCAGTTTACTAATTCAAAGTAAATACAAATTCATGTTAGTTAATTAAATTTATTATCCTTTTTTTATTTTAAAACTTTAAAAACCAACTATTAATATGTCTACAATAATTGCTTTATTTAAAATATAATTGTGCTCAATGAGGTCCCACTACCTTCTTCTTGGAGTTAAGCTGAAACTCATTCACATCTCTTATCCGAACGATCATCTCCCATCGTTCGTTCGGCTTGCCATCTCTTTATCTTGAATGTCGATTAGAATAAGGGAAATTCATTGGGATTGTAGTGAATTTCATTTCGCGACAAGGTCTTAGTCATATAGATGTCTTGACATCTCTATTTACTTGTTAGATGGATGATTGTCCCATTCTATCGTTGGTAAATACTGATTAGGATTTACTTTGGCCAGTAGTTAGACTTGTCTATTTTTCAAGTAATATATTTTTTTCTTTCTTTTTTTCAATCACATTTTTTAATAAAATAATATTACACGTAGTTCAAATTTTTTTCTTATTTTTAACCACACATTATCAAAAAATCACAATTTTAAAATATATATATTTTTAAAAAATTTAATTTAATGGAGACCAAAAAGTTAAGGAAGTATTAATTAATTATTTTTCCATCCCACAAACGACCCTCTCTCTTTTGACCAGTGAAAAATTAAAATCTCTGTAGCATGTTATATCCATGTTTGCTAATCCAAACCGTTGATTGGACATCCAATCAACGGCCAGGATTAATCTTCAACAAACCCCCCATGTGAACTTTCGCCACCATTTCCCCTCGTTGTGCTCCTCACCTACCCAAATCTTTACGTTACACGTTCATGCTACTCTATTTAAAGCCTCAAACCTCACCAACAACATTTCAAGAGCTTCCAAACCCTTACACCACCCAATCCACCCATTAAATCTATTTATACACCTTATTACTCGTGTGTGACAAGTGTTAAATTTTTCTTCATAACAAATGGAAAGTGTATTGGAAAATGGGCACTCAAATGGCAAAGTGATGGATTTTTGTGTGAAAGATCCATTGAACTGGGGAATGGCAGCTGAGTCTTTGAAGGGAAGTCATTTGGATGAGGTGAAACGAATGGTGCAGGAGTTTAGAAAGCCGGTGGTAAAGCTTGGCGGTGAAACCTTGACTGTATCGCAGGTAGCGGCGATTGCTGCCCAGGATAATGCCGTCAAGGTGGAGCTGTCGGAGGCGGCGAGAGGCGGCGTTAAGGCCAGCAGTGACTGGGTTATGGAGAGTATGAATAAAGGGACTGATAGTTATGGTGTCACTACTGGTTTTGGTGCCACTTCACATAGGAGGACCAAGCAAGGGGGTGCCCTTCAGAAGGAACTTATTAGGTAAACAATATTTTCTTTCTTAAAAATCAGCTTTTTCCTGCAATTTATGTTTATATTTTACTAAAAAGTAATTTTTAGCGACTGTTAAACAGGATCAAGGTGAACATTTGAAAATTGGCTGTATACAGAATTTGTCGATCAATTTCTTGGAGCAATTTTAATTTTCTATTTTTCTGTATATGACAAACATAAACTCTCATTTCTTTAGTTTAGGAAACGAAAAAGAAAAGGGAAAATGACAAGATGGATGAAAAATGGAATCCGAGTTCCCAAATCCCAGAATCTCTTGTTTCTTGATTCTTTTATCCTTTCCTTAGCTTTGATCTACACTTGATGATATTGATTTTACTCAAGTTCGTGGACCATTTAGGAAATGTGGTAGGTGAAGCAAAATGGGTTCAAATTTCTTGGCCACCTAACCCTGTTTATGGCCACTTGTAAATCGGGCCCTACCAGCGGGTCCAGGCTGCAGAAGTATATTCACTTAGTCATGCTATTCATCCTCTCGGGTTGAACCCTAATTTATGTGACAATTACATAGCTTAAATACAAAGTCACGCGACTCATTTAATTGAGCCCTAGCCCTAATCTATATTGCAATCACATGAAACTTTATTATTTGTCAAATTAAAACACAATTAATTTTTTCATTCAATCTTTTTCCACCAAGTCATTTTATAAAATCCTAACCCTTTTTAGTTGTTCTCACCCAATTAAGAGGTTGTCTGTGATTGATTATAATTAAAATTCCTACCGTTCAAAGCCAAGAAATGCCATTTTTCTAACCGTTGGGCACCAAATCAGCCCACCTTTGTTGACTAGTTCTCTCTTGCATGGGTCCCATCAGAGGAAGCAACGTTCCAAAAATCAATTGGTAGAAGCGGGGCCAGACAGGCCCTAAGCTCCTTGTATAGAATTAACGTACGGAAAACATTACATATACACGTGGCAATACTGCAGTCTGCATTGGCTGCCACAAAGCTGGCTTTTTGTCCAAGGCCCATTGAATGCTTGTCACTTGTGTACTTGTAATGCTATATGTACATTCTTTTGTACGTATAGCAAAGTTCTTTTCTCACCATCCTAGAAGCTTGTTTACACAGTCCAATCTTTTAAGTTTCTATGAGACTAAACAGCCTAGTGGAATCCTAGATATAAGAAGTGTAAAGCATAGCAAGACGATCAAGCTTCTCGGGTGGATACTTAGAACACTTGTTTTTCTTTGTAGGTTTGCCTGCACGGCTTGGACAGCTGGCAAGTTTTGACATTTGTTCTTATATTTTTATTTTCTTGCAGCTGATCTTCACATGAAATACCCATGAAATTGACTAGTCCATTTTACAATCTCGTTCTTTCTGCTAATTAATAAGAAATTATTGTCTGTTTGAATTTATTGGCAGACATTGCATAAGATTCTGCAGTTATTAAATTGCGAAATTCTAATTATGATTAAATATGACAGGTTCTTGAATGCTGGAATCTTTGGGAATGGAACAGAATCTTGTCACACACTGCCACATTCAGCAACAAGAGCAGCTATGATTGTGAGAATCAACACCCTTCTTCAAGGATATTCTGGCATCAGATTCGAAATCTTGGAAGCTATAACCAAGTTTCTTAACCACAACATCACGCCATGCTTACCCCTCCGCGGCACAATCTCATCCTCGGGTGATCTTGTTCCGTTGTCCTACATTGCTGGTATGTTAACAGGGCGGCCTAATTCTAAGGCTGTTGGACCCACGGGAGAAACTCTAAATGCCGAGGAAGCCTTTAAACTTGCTGGTGTAGATGGAGGTTTTTTCGAGTTGCAGCCTAAGGAAGGCCTTGCACTAGTTAATGGAACGGCTGTTGGTTCTGGCTTGGCTTCAATTGTTCTTTTTGAAGCTAATGTACTCACAGTGTTTTCTGAAGTTCTATCAGCAATTTTTGCTGAAGTTATGAATGGGAAGCCCGAGTTCACTGACCATTTGACTCACAAACTAAAGCACCATCCTGGGCAGATTGAGGCTGCTGCTATAATGGAACATATTTTGGATGGTAGTTCTTATGTGAAGGCAGCTCAAAAGCTACATGAGATGGATCCCTTGCAGAAGCCAAAACAGGATCGATATGCTCTCCGGACATCACCTCAGTGGCTCGGCCCACAAATAGAGGTCATTCGTTCAGCGACGAAGATGATTGAAAGGGAGATCAACTCGGTCAATGATAACCCCTTGATTGATGTTTCGAGGAACAAGGCATTGCACGGTGGTAATTTCCAGGGTACGCCTATTGGAGTCTCCATGGACAATTCTAGATTGGCCATTGCATCAATTGGAAAGTTGTTGTTTGCTCAATTTTCCGAGCTTGTCAATGATTTCTACAACAATGGTTTGCCTTCAAATCTCTCTGGTGGACGGAACCCAAGTTTGGACTACGGTTTCAAAGGGGCTGAAATTGCCATGGCTTCATACTGTTCTGAGCTCCAATTTTTGGCGAATCCAGTCACAAATCACGTCCAAAGTGCCGAGCAGCACAACCAAGACGTTAATTCCTTGGGTTTAATCTCTTCTAGAAAGACAGCTGAAGCAGTCGATATCTTGAAACTCATGTTATCTACATATCTGGTGGCACTATGCCAAGCAATAGATTTGAGACACTTAGAGGAGAACCTTAGAAACACTGTGAAGAACACCGTGAGTCAAGTAGCTAAACGAACTCTAATAACTGGTGCCAATGGTGAACTTCATCCATCAAGGTTCTGTGAGAAGGATTTACTTCGTGTGGTGGATCGTGAATACGTGTTTGCATATATCGACGACCCTTGCAGTGCAACTTACCCATTGATGCAAAAATTGAGGCAAGTCCTCGTTGAGCATGCACTTAAAAACAGCGAAAACGAGAAGAATGTTAGCACTTCAATTTTCCATAAGATTGAAGCTTTTGAAGATGCACTAAAGGCCCTTCTGCCTAAAGAAGTTGAGAGTTCAAGAGTGGCCTTGGAGAGTGGAAATCCGGCCATTCCGAACCAGATTAAGGAGTGCCGATCTTATCCCCTGTACAAATTTGTTAGAGAAGAGCTGGGAACGGAGTTGCTGACTGGAGAGAGTATAACATCCCCGGGAGAAGTGTTTGACAAGGTATTCACAGCAATGAGCGAGGGACTGATGATTGATCCATTACTGAAGTGCCTCGAGGGCTGGAATGGTGCCCCTCTTCCAATTTGTTAGTTTGATAAAATTTTCACTTTTTTGTTTTTACAGCAATGGAAAATTTTCTGGTTTTTCTCTATTTATGTGTGCTTGAATGTAATATGTCTGTACCGTGAAATAAAATGTAAAAATTTCTGCAATTATCGCGTTTCTATTCATACTCCAGATCCGAACCAGTTCTGAAATGAGGATGACTACGTGCATTTGGAACATAGTGATTTGTTCGTATTTCCAAGCATTATTGGCACCTGTGTACCCTTAGAATAAAGATTGTCATGAAAGCCTATGCACGACAGCATATAGAGAGGACAAGAGCATCTCAGAGTACACAGAATGAGTCGTGCCCCATTTTTTGACTGAAATGTCCCAGAAATATTTGAATAATGTCCCATGTATTCACTTAAATGTAAATGTCACATAATTCATTTAATTGAGTAGAGTTTGACCACATGTACTGTTAAATGTAATGTCTCATAATTCATTTAATTGAATAGAGTATGAACATATACTGATACTGTAGCACCACTCATGTTAGATTGCATTAATCAAAATATTTGTATCTGGTGTCAAAAGTAAACTATTAATGCAAGGAGTCGTGTGAATAAAAAAAATTGAAGAATTATTATCTTTCTTTGAAAAGCTACTATAGAATAAAGCAAAGAATGTCACTATTCCTTGCTCTGGAGTCAGATTTGTAATATTTGTCTTCTAAGATTTGTGAAGCATATTTGTTAAGTTTTAGGTGTCTATATATGTCTTCGCGTGTTCATTGTAATCGAGTTATTTGATATCGAGTCTCTTGTAATATATTTTTTGTGTAATATCAAGTCTTCTTGTCTGTATTCAAAATTGTTTGTTTTTATGATTCTAGTTTGTCTTTTCATGGTTTTACCTCCCCCTCGGTTGTAATTTTGGGATTCATGTCCCTATTTGAAAGCTGTTCTTCAAAATTTATTTTCAATTATATATTCTCTTAATAAAAAAAATTTGCACTTAAACTAATTTTTTTTACCTACTTATTCTTAAAAAAAATAAAATTTATTTCAAAAGATGGGGTTCAAATGAGCTCTATCAAATTTTAAATTTTACCAAGGAAGGAGAGGTACAATTTTTTTTTTTTTTTCCTTCTTATAATTTGGTATATAGAGGTTGGTAAATGATTGTGACACACAGGGGCGGACGCAGA